ATTCCTGCCTTCCCTTCTGTTTTGAAGGCAGGGGTTTGTTTTAGCATTGCAGTGTTGCAGTTAACTTTCCAGTGACTTGTTTTCAAGGCATTCCACTGTCCATGTTCGTATGTCTGGAGGACATCATACGTTTAAATCTGTATGACTTGTAAAGGAGCTGTTCTTGGCTAGAATCGTCTCGTGTGTAGGGATTTTCAAAGAGCTTGCGTGCTTTGATTATACTGACTGGAAAGTGCAACACTCCTGTAATGATTAACAGCAAACGGTCAGGTTTAAGGGTGGGTCATTTGCTGTTGGTTCCTGTGCTTGCCAACACATGATACACAGGATCTTGTGACTGTGTTAACTCCAAACATAAGAGTGTTTGTTTGCATTTACATCACATCTCAAAATGTATTGATGTGTAGAGTAGTCAGGTAACCTCTAAACAGTGAAGAATGGCAATAATTAGGTCACCATTCAGACATATAACTAATATTAACCCTTATGAGCCTGGTTGCTTCCATGCCGGTTACTTTGGTGCTGAAAATTATGGAAGATTTTTGGAGTAGGTGGGAGGGAAAGGTGGAGAATTACTGGCTTCTCAGTGGTAGGGAGAAGCAAGTTCCCTTGCTTGTCTCCTACACAAGGTCAACATATTGGAACTTCTTGTCTGATGTGACCAGCTCTGCTGCTGGCTCCTGCCCCATCCTGTGATGAGAATGAAGGAGGACAGGCTGGGTGGGGGAGGAAGGGAGGCTAAAAGCAGCCTGGGACAACAGGAGGGGCACCCAGTTGTGTGAGATACATGTGGGAGTGTCTGAGGCTCTTGGCTTAATATGCAGTGGGAAGCTTGATCCGAGCTCAGCAGTCCCTTGTGGTGTTGGGAGCAGAGGAAGGAGGTTCATGTGGCTTTGCTTCAAAAGTAAAAGAAGTTGTGGTGCATAAAATTTCCAAGGAGGCGAGCTGTGTTTGGTTTAGTCCCTTGAAGCCTGGGCTGGCCGAGTTGGCAAGCCCTGCAAAGCTTTCACAGCAAGGCCCAGAGAGGATTTTCCTCCTCCCTCGCTTGGGACCCCAGGCACAGCGATGAGCTCCAAGGAGAGTTGGCGGCTGAAAACAGATCACTGCAATGCAGGGGTTTGTTGCAAAGACAAGTAGATGGAGAGGAAGAGAGATGGCAGGCATCTTCTCCTGTGGACTTTTTCACTATCTTAGGGGAGAAATAAAGAGCCTGAAAAGTCCTGGCCTTGATGCTGTAGCAGCCAGAGACTGACTTCTCTTGAGCCTGAGCTTTGGTGCAGTGAAAGCCCAAACCTGCAGACTAAACACGGTACCTCCTGTTTACATCTCGTGGGCCGGAGTGGAGCGTGTCCAAGGTGGGACAGGCCAGAGAGCTTCTGCACAGTCTGTCAGCCCCCACTGCCCGGGCTGAGCAACGAGCTGAGAGTCACTGGGCTCCAGTGGAGGGTTAGCAGATGACAGGAGTTTGGCAGGTCCCAGCGCCATTCCTACCAGACAGGTGTCCGTATCACCACCGCAGCTGGTACTTGGCGGGAGCTGTTTTAGCAGTCTCAGCAGAAAAGGCAAGGAGTCATTAGACCATGGAGATTGTACGCCCCATTTCTATCAACAGTCTTTCCAGGTCACGTTCGAGGCGTGTTAGTAGGGGAAGCCTGTCCTGCTGCTGCCCATGCTCTGGGGATGATTAGATTATTTCATTCTCCAGAGCTGTCAAATTGGCACCTTTCCCAAGTACTTGGATTTTTTTTTTTCATTTAAGTAACATTTAATTAGTTCTAAGAAGCTAAATTCTATTAAAGGTCTAAGCATGTCAGGCTGGTTTATTTCTGAACTTCTTCCACTGTGTCATGTATTGTTAAATAGGGAAATTGCTTTGACTCAGAAATGTACAAACATATTCAAGAAGTCCTCCTTGTTAACACTAGACTCCTGTTTATATGCTAGTTACCGTGGCAAAGTCTCTGATGTGTAACACTTGCATTAACATTACACATGATCAAAGGTTTCTGCAGTTCTTTCTTCCACTCCCCCTTCCCCCAGTGCTGTGACAGCAGAGCCCCCACACCTTCTCCTAAGCACCTCTGCTCTCCTTTCCAAGAGGTAGATGTTCCAGACTCACAGAGAAAGGCCGTGCCGGAGGTGTCTGGCCCCATGTTGGAGGGTTAAGGCTGCTGATCATGGAGACAGACTCTGACATTAACTACCCCACAGTGGCATTTGTATTCATAGTGGAGCGTCCAAGGTTCTTGGTCGAACATCTGAGCTGTGCCAAGCATGCAATTCATCAAAGATCAACCTTGTTTGTCTCCAAAGCCTACCCAAAGCAAGGTGAGGTTTTGCGTGTGTTCTCCCTCCCTCCCTTACTCACGTTCCAGCAGATGATAGAGACACTCTGTTGAAATGTGTTACTGATCAAGCCTGTCCCAATAAAGTTGCCTGAGCCTTTAATACATATTAATATTATCCTGGGGTAGTTTGTGTCAAAGCCTGTCAGCATGTATCATCCTTTGGGAATTACCATCATTAAGTCTCCAGTGATGGGAGTCAGGACATGCTTCTGCAAAGCTCGTCTGCTTTTATGTGGAGCTCTCTGCCTGTCTAGCACAAAGCAGACTATTCTCCCCTCCTACCTTGCTCACCTGGACTGCTTACTCTCCCCAGAGGGGAGAAGGAGGTTTTTTTAATACTACCTTTAGATAATTTCTGCTCCTGCTGCTTTAGGCAGTCATTGTTCTAGGGAAGAAGATGACACTCAAGTCTTTGATCATGTGCAACGTGCATGTTACGCATCAGATATTGCTGCAGACTCTGACATACGAGCCAATACAGTGCAGTAAAAACAAACCTATAGTTAAAGAGTCCTTGTTAACTGCAAAATCTAGCACACAGAATTTAAGAAATATCTCTGCACTTTAGCCTTGCTCCTGTTACACGTATGTGTTTTGATACTATATCTAATTGAAGGATCATATGTGTTTTTTAGAAAGCGTGCCTGCTTCATTCAGTGCACAGAGGTGCAGCATGTTTGGGGGATGAATCAGGAGTGTGGAGTAAAGTAGGCTCTTGCCTATAGGACTTCCACTTTGTTAGTTTGTCATAATTAGAAGCTGTGTAGTGAATGAGGCAGGTAATTGCAGAAGAATCACAATAGTGTTATGATGAAGCCTGTTAAATGTTGCCCTGGAGAACTGGATCCTGTTCTTGCCTCTACTACTCTGTTCTTTCGCGATGCTATTCCAGAGTCTTAAGCTAAAATGTTCTCACATGGCAACTTAGTTTGTGTTCCTTGTTTTCTGGATGCCTAGCTCGAGACCTGAAGTCTGATTTGTGTTCCCAGCCGAAGGAGGAGACCGGAGGAATTCCTCTGCGGATACCCCTGTGCCCTGCAGGGCTGAGTGGGCTGGAAAACAGGGAACTGCAAGTCTTGAGACAGGCACCCACAAAGAAGTAGACTTTCAGATTAAATTTTCTCTTCACTCATTTTCCCATGTCTGTTCAGGAAAACCTTCTTCCAGTCATCCTGTGAAGATTAATTCAGTGCTTGCCAAGCATTCCAGCTCCACAGATGAACACCAGAAACAATTTCAGGAAGAGATTAAAGCTTGTTCTTGCAGGTCAGGAGAGAGGAAAGGATCTCTCTGGGGTAGGGGGTCAGCCTGAGAGTCGAAGACCCATGTTCAGCTCCCTGCTCTTGCAGATTTTCTCTGTGACTTTAAGTCTCTTAGTTTCTTTTAGCCTCCCTCCCCCATCTGCTGCACGGAGAGGAGTGCTTCCCTGCCTCGCAGAAATGTAAGGCTGAGCACATCAGAGGCTGTGAGAGTGGTGAGGACAGTAAGATTAGGTAATCCATGCTGGCAGTAGTTGGATGGAGCGTACTAAATAAAGGGGAAGAGAGTAGGAGGGAATGGGGAAGCAACTTGAATGATAATGAAAAGAAATGATGACTAATGCTGCCTTCAGTGAGCAGAACCATCCAGAGGACTGAGCAGGGCAGAGGTCTTGTGGGAGAAAAACAGCAGGCGATCCTGTGATTACAGATTTGTTTCGTGAGGCAGACGTACACTAGGGCTAAATTAGCATGGCGCAGACAGTCTCTGTGCAGCCTTTTCTGAAGTTTCGTATGCCCCATGTCACTGGTCTCTGAGTGTAGAGGGATTTTTTCCAGGTAATTTACTCGGGTTCAGGGCGAATCCTGTTAGGCAGATGGAGGCTA